CATATATACATATACAGTGATATATGTTATATGTGTGTGTATATATATATTTATATAGAGGCTTACCAAATTTATATATATATATAAGTAAAAATTATACCCCGTATTAATTTCATTGTAAGCATTAATGTTGGAGTTCCGTTCAATTTAAGTCTTCTCTCTCTTAATTAAATGGGCTTGCCATGATTGATGTGTTTCATATTATCATATTACTAATATTGTACTGTGGGTAGTTACGAACTTGCAAACAAACATGAAGTGGGCTGGTGACAAACAATTGGATTTAGGAGTATTTAATTTCTTTCATTAAACACAATTTTCTGTCACTTGTCAATATGCATTTTATGTTTGCACCTGCAATATCACTAAAACAGATTAGGGAAAAATAAATTTATTAACCGACTAATAAATAAATTGCTTGTCAATTTCCATAATAAATGATGTTTTCAAATGTTGTCATGCGTTAGGACTTGGGCTTCCTCCACTTGTTTCAATCCTATAATAAATGATGTTTTCATGGTGTGCTATGCTGAATTTAGCACAAGGTGTTGGTTTTAGAGCTTGAGCAATTGAAGATGTCAGTTTTTATTTTTTTCGCCCGCTCTTCCAGCCAGGGCGAAGACTTGAATTCGGGGACATAGTGAAATTCAGCATAATGACTTTACCAACTTCAATTGCTCAAGTAAAATGAATCATTTAATTACAGAAAACATAAAAGTAAAATGAATTTTGAAGGAAGAAATTTTAAGAGAAAAAGATAAAAAATAGAAAAGTTCAAAAAAAATTTAGAAATTAATCATTTTAGGGAGGCATAATATACAAATTTCTATATACATATGTAAAAAATATATATATTAAAAACCATATATATAGAGCGGCCAAGACCTCGCGCCCACGGGCACAAGGTGGCTCCGCCCATGCTTCCAGCCTTTCTTTTCTCTCGTTTTCTACTTTCTTTTTGTGTTGTCTGCTTTAAGTGTAGTTTTAATTTAAATATCATTGAATCTTGAAGTTTACCTTTTTTGACAGTAAAATTGTAATATCATAAGAACAATGATTTTATGAAAAGAACAAAAAAGGAAAAAGAAAAAAACAAATGTATTAAGTGGTGTTCAATTCACTGGAACTCCCAAGTAACCCTCGTTTGATTAGGTAGAACTAGCAAGAAAAGAAAAGAATCGAAAAATATTTAAATTTTTGTGCTTTTGTGCGTTTGTTTGGGATGAAACAGAAAATTTTCAAGAAATTGGATTCTCGCAAGTAGCTAATTTTCTTTAAAACGATTTCCGTATAAAACACGCGAAAATTTTTATTTCTCGGAAAAGTTATTAAGTTATATTTTAAATTCATATTATACTCATAATTATCAGTTGGATAACTTGAGTTTCCTTTATCTTTTTATCCCTTTTTTATAAACAATTTTTTTCCAAACGTAAATGAAATCGTGAAATTGGAGAGATCTTATTTTTAGCAAAAATTTTTTTAATCTATTTTTATTGCTTTATTCTTTTTTTCCTTTTTTTTTTCTGTTTTTTTTTTCCCTTTCAAATACATATATACATATAACATATCATGGTGGATATTTTTTAAGTGCATTATATTAATTTTCAATATGTGTATATACATATCAACTAGGTTTTATAATTTTGATACTAGAGTTATTATAAATTTTACAAAATATATACGTTCCTAAAAAATAATAATACAAAAGAATTATAGTTATATAATTCTAGTTGAATTAAAAAAGAAAACCCTCATAAACTTGGTTGTTAAAATTTTATTGGTTTTGGTTATTCTAATATAAACAAACATACAGTGGAACAATCCTAATTTTATTCGACTTCATCAAAATCCTTACAATTACTATATAAATTGTAAGGTCCAAATCATATATATATATATTTGAATAAAGAAATTCCGGTGACTTGGTGTCTCACACAAGTTCAGAATATTATTATCAACAACAAAATTTGATGTATGAATTAATTTTACTCAAATTTATTTATATTTTTAGTATTTAAAATTATAAGGACAATTTTGACAAGTACAATCATTTTCTTTTCTCTTTCATTCTATCCAAACTAATAACATAATATTTTCTCACAATTTTCTTAAAAAATTTCCATGCTAACCAAATGCACCATGGAAACTTAATTTTCTTTTCCTTCACTTCACTTTCTTTCACTTTCCACCATCTATTTCCATTTAACCAAACAGACCTTTATAAGAATAGATAAATGAAAATTTTCAAACATCGACACCCAAATATTACTATATTCATACGGTTTTGGTTCCAAATATTTGGAACCATTAAGTTTCTAAAATCAAACTGTTAGGAATCAAAATTGTACAAATAATTATTACTAATATATATGCCTGTTGATACTTGTTGTGATCAATGTATTGCTTTAGTCAAAGTTTTGCTAAACAAAAAAACGAACCGGTTGGATTTTATATCCCAATGGTTTCAATTTCGATTTTAATTTTTAAAACTAATTACAAACTAAGAAAGTGCAACACAACTTTAATACCATATCTTAAAATAATGCGGTAGCATATGTTTTTTAGTAGAAGTAAAAGTTAAGTATGGATTATATATATATATATATTTGATGGGACGTCTTTTATTTATTTATTATTATCGTTAAAAAATATTGTAACGCTGTAAAATAGTATTTATAAAAAAAATATCTAAAATTATATAACAATTTTTATTGGCAAGTTCTAGGAATATTTGGAAAGAAAATAAATTAAATTACTGTAAAACTTCTTTTAATAACAATAATAATATCATATATGCTAATACTTTAAGTTATCACTTTCTAAATAACAAATTTTATAACTATTTGTTTAATAACTCAATAATAATATTGTTAAATTTAAAATTATTTTTTTGAGTTAAAATTCATTATATTTTTTTTACTCTTTCATCTAGGTATATCTTTCTCAATAATAATATTGTTGAAAAACTGAAACAATTGATAAAGAAAATTTGATTTTCTAATAATATTTATTTCTTTAGGTTCCTTCTCCATAATTTTCTTTCTAATATATATATATATATATATATATATATATATATATTGTCTAAGTTTATTTTTCTTATTTTTTTAATTTTCTCAAAATATATATATACTATAACAAATATTTTAAAAAATTTATATTACAATTAATTTATAAAATTTATAAAATTTTATTACATTGTTTAAATTCGTCCCAAACTTTCAATTTCTGGCTGGGTATGTTTTATTTTGTCTAAAACTTAACTTTTTTTTAATGATACATCTTGTCAAACTTTATAGCTCTTCAGTTTCTGCATTCTACTCGAGGATGTCGAAAACGACATGGGCTGGATTCAACCTGCGTAACGAAGGGTGGGCCTAATAATTGACCTGCGCCCAAGCCAAGCTCCTATAAGGCAGGCCCAGTACTGAAGAATGAAGTGGGAAGTCCATGAACAATATCGGGCCTTTGATCATAAATGGCCTCAAAGGCAAACCCAACGGAAGAAGTTAGTTAGGAACCTTCTAGAAGAAGGAAAATGGTCTATAAATATATGAAAAAAGGGAGAAAGAGAGATGGAAATATTTAAAGTGTAATGAAACTCTGTCCATTTAGAGAGAGAAAATTATTGCATCTTCAATGGCGCCGTCTGTGGGAATCGAGGAGAATTGCTTAGTGTTTGGTTAAGCTTGATTCGATCCAGTGTAGTTCGTGAGGAAGAAGCTTGATCGCTGAGGGTAGAATCAAGATCGGAGAAGTCACAGTTTGTTTTGCCGAATCTCGGTGAAATCATCGTTCTCGATTCGATCTGAACAATTCTGGTTTGTGCTTATTCCGGTGAGCAGTGCAGTTGAGATCTGCTGCGATTCCGGTGAATTCGGCGGGTACGCCGCTGGAATAACTTAGATTTAGCTAATCGCGGTCGGAATTCAATTAAGCTTGAATCTAGATCTAGTGTGTTCGCGTTAGCGGAGCTCAGATTTAATCAGTAATTAGCGATTGATGACTTTGCTTCGATTCGGAATGATGATCGGAGGAGAAAGCTCGAATCTATTGGAAAATGGCCAACAGTCAAAGCTCGACGAGTTGATGAATGTGATCAATGCGCTGAGAGGAGAGAACGCAGAACTGCGAGCTAGAATGGAGCGCCGTGAGGCTCTTGCAATTCTGAGGCCATCTATGACAGTAGAGGGAGTTGTGCCATCCAATGCTCTTCGTCATGATGAGTTGGAAGGAGAGCATCGCGCGGATCCTCCTCGCGAAGAGATAATGCAAGGCGATCTACCTCATAACCTCCGTTAAATCGAAGATTGGGAAGGATCTATCCACCTGGATCCACCACGTGACCGAGTCATGCGAGAAGAGGCTGCCGCGTTCAATCCAAGTCATGGAAGGTTGCTGCGAGATGAAGCAGTAGAGGTCGGTCAACGCGGAGCGTCATCACCATGGCAGAGGGGGTTTACGGAGGATAGAACGCTCGATCCACCTTACAGTCCTTCAATGGCGACCTACGATTACAGGAGTTTCGATGGGAGATTTGCAGATCCGATGGTTCCCTCGCGATTTTCAAGGGAGAATGAGGCACTTCGTTCGTCTGCAAGAACGGTTGCCTCTCCATTTACTAACGAGATCTTGAACGCTCCGAATCCAAGGAAGTTCTCCATGCCTGTGTTCATTCTGTTTAATGGAACAACCGACCCAATCAATCATATCTACCATATTCAGTTGAAAATGGCTTTGAACACGAACAACGATCCTTTGATGTGCAAGTGCTTCCCTACGAGTTTAGCTGGCCCAACACTCAATTGGTTTAAGAATTTGGCTCAAGGTTCAATTGCTAGTTTTCAAGATTTGTGTGATAAGTTTATAAGTCAATAATATGGGAATAAATGCTAGGCTAAAGATGTATCGAGCCTGTTTACAATGAAGCAGCATGAGGACGAGCAACTCTAGGCTTTTCTCACTAGGTTCAACCTTGTTAAGAGTATGGTTATGGAATGCCATCCATCAACCGCAGTTCAAGCGTTCAAGCTAGCAATGACCCGAGGGACACTTTCCATACTAGCCTGGTGGTGAACACGCCGGAGACAATGGACGAGCTAAATGAGAGAGCTGATGGTTTCGTGTGTCTGGAAGAGGAAGAGGCAGCTAATGCTAGGAAGACATCTGTCATCTCCATAGAAGAGAAGTTCAAAGCTAAGATACGGCAAAAGCAAGTTCCACCACAACGTCAAACCATCTGGAAGGCAGAGAAGAGGCCCAGAGAGGATGACTTGATTACTCCACTCAAAGTTACTTTGGTAAGACTATACTAAGAAAACAAAGATAAGTTTCGTTCCCCCTTGCCCATTAGACAACCTCTTGAACAGAGGGATCAATCCAAACATTGTGCTTTTCATAATGATTTTGTTCATCGGACTAATGAATGCAGGAACCTGAGAAGGCAAGTGGAGATGCTGATCGCTAGGGGAGAGTTTGCAGGATATGTTCAAGGGCCAGCACAAGAGCAGAATCGACCAGCTGAGCAAGTCAAGAGAAACCAAAAGCCGAACCATCATAATGCTCAGCCCGTTCGGATTATAAATGCAATCCATGGCCGACCTGAGCAGACCGTAGAATCCGAGGAATTACTCCGAACACGTCTCCAACTGATGGACAGAGGCTGCACTACCATCAAGATTGAGAGTGTGAAATTTAAGGTGAGGGCCAAGAGTTTTATATTTATAGAAGCCACTACTACCTTTCACTATAAATATAGCTAGGGCGAGTAGGGATCGTCCCAAGGGATTGTGAGGGTCGGACAAGGTTGTGGAATCGCTATTAGGGCTAGTAGGTCGAGTGATCAAACATTGGTTGGTTGGTTGGTTGATTGATTAGAGAGCAACTAAATTGAATTAAGTAATAACAAAAGAATACAACTAAGAGTAAGTATGAAAGAGAAGAGTCTTGGGGTTTAGAGATCACCACCAAGTAATGCATTTCTATACCGTTGACAAGTGACTAATAAGGGCAAATGGTGTGTTGCAATATTGGTGTGTGTGTGTTTGGTTGATTCAACAATTAAGGATGACTAGTTAAGCATGTATTGTCTAAACATCATGTGAAAGGCACAATATATCTAAGCAATGAAGCATAGATTGTCTAAACAACATGTGAAAGGCACAATAGATCAAAATAAGTCATTAATCCTTTCATTAAGCTCACAATCCAAATACAACACAAGGTTAGAGACATATGCTACTTGCATTTAAAAGCTTGGATCATCAAACAACAAGCATGGATTGTCATCCCATTTAACATTACGCTATAACTACACTACATCTACACTACTAGCATGAAAATGAACTAGGAGAGAGGCACAATCCATCAAGGAATAAGTATGAACCATCAAGAAAATCATAAGAGCATCTTTTAAGCACTATGTTTTGACAATCTCTAAATCTATAGCATTAATACACATAGACATGCATCAATAACACAAAATCTAGAGACAAGCACATGAACATCTATTATAGCATACATAGACATATGGATAGAATGAAATGATCAATTGGAAACATTAAACCATATAAATCATTGAATAAACAAGATCTATATATATCCAAGTGTCAAAACATTAATTACAACACTAATCCCTCAATAATACACAAGATTAAGATATAGAAAGCATGCTTGGGACTAACTCTAGCCCTAAGAGGATGTCTAGCCACTTATGGTGATGTTGCTCCAACCCTCAAGAGCTAACTCCATGGTTGAAATCTGTTCTTTTGTTGATGAAGAACTCCAATGGTGTCTCTAGCCTCCTCCTCTTTTCTTCTACACTAAGAATAGCCTCTAAAGTTGTATCTACCAAATGCTAAGATCTCCTTTCAAAAAGTGTATCATATTCCTTTTATAGGTAGGTCAAGTGACACACCAAATGAGCTATAGGGTCGTGCAAAGAATATTCTCTAATGATTGGATAGAGGACGGATTGAACAAGTTGGCTTTTTAACTTTTTCGCACTGGAGGGAGTTCGATCGATCGAACCTTGGACTTAGATCGATCGAACTGGCTGAGATCTATCGAACTGAGGCTGGATCGATCCAACTGGTTGAGCTTTTTGGGAAAAGACAAATCCGAGATATTTTGGGAGATATTTTTGGGAAAAGGACAAAAGTGGTTAGTGGGTGGTACAGCTGTGGATGAGATCAATCATTTGAATAAGGACAAAAGTGTTGGATCGATCGAAGGGTGGTGTTGGATCGATCGAACTTTGGACTTTTTGCTTTTGGGTCAAGGTTTGGATCTATCTTGAAGTACTGAGATCGATCAGTGTTCGATCGATCGAACCTTGAAGTTGGATTGATCAAACTTTGCTGCTTCCCACCTTTGGCTTCATTTGCTTCTTTCTTTCTCCACGTTGCTCATTTATTTATTTAATCCCAGAATTGCTTCAATTAAGCTCTTATTTGGCTGAGTTAGCTTGTTTTCGGGATAAGTGTCCAAAAATGGAAATAATACGAAATCAATCTAAAACGGTAAAGTAAGATAGATAAAGGTACTAGAATGCCTAAGCTTAAGGGGTTTAAATACGCACTTTTCAGCGCTCATCACATCCCCAAACTTAAATATTGCTAGTCCCTATCAATGAACTAGAAAATAAATGAATGAAATGAACAACTATACAAGTATGAATCTAGAAAGCAATAAATGGATAACGCCACTTTCGTAGGGAACACGATTGCACTTAGCATATGCAACAAGCCTTTTAAACCCCTAGGTTACCCCTAGTGGAAGAGTGAAGTCTCGTGAGGGTTTCCAGAAATGGTACCCACAAACATTAAGCTTATTTTTTCAAAACAGGTACCAATATTACAAACAAGCATTGGGAGAAAACTACATCAAGTATGCAATGTTTCAAATATTTCCGAGCAATCTCCCAAAATCTCAACATCAAGTAAGCAAGTATGGTCCTCCACACATTAAGAAAATGATCATGCAAATCAAAACAACTCTAGAATCCTTTTTGAGTGGATTGGCATCAAATATGTTGCTATCTTAGCCAACTAGAGAAATGATCACATCCTTACCCTCGAATTAGCACACAAATCTAGTACCGATCATCAAGACAAAAAGTGGACCTTTTATTAAAGCTTTATTGTTCTAGGTGCGCTTATTCTTTTCACTCGATTTTTTTTTTTTTTAAAAGATGGAAGCATGGTGCAATGTGTTGATCTATTAAGCTTTCTAGTGATTCATGAAGGTCGAGCGTTAGGTCAATGACTCCCAAACCAGATGGTTTTAGGGCATTAGGCATTCAAATACCCTTACGGACTTACAAGCTCAAATCAACTACGCTACAAATCAGACAACAATCATCTAATCATTTCCCACTTCTCACCATTTGGGAGAAGTCCTTACTTTTTTATTGCTTTTGCTTTTGCTCTTTTTTTTTTTTTTTTTTTTTTTTTTTTTTTTTTTTTTTTTGGTATTCAATTATTAACCTAGAGTTTGGGCCCTCCACCTTTCGACGCGAGAAGTTCAGTGCTTGATGAGGCTAAAATCCCGGCTACTTAGTGAAAAAGGGTTGTTATCCACCTTTATCAAGAATAATAGCTTTCAATGCACTACTAGCCTAATTGGGATATAACCAATTCAATAATTAACAAAGCATGTACCCCACAAATGAATGTTAGTGTGCGTCTGTGCTAGTGTAGAATACTAGGGTGAATCTCAAAATAATTACAAAATCAGGATGATGTGGACCACAAGTGCAAGCAAGATATCAATTTTTCAAAAAATTTACTCCTAAATGGCATCCATAAGGCATACAAGGAGTATTGGACTCTCAAGTTAAGTAATTTTAAAATTTTAAGCAATATAGTCCTCAAAAGATCAAAATTATAGCTAGATATAGACCAAAATATCCCTCAAATACACAAGTCATGCTCAAAATTTTGAAATTTAAAGCTAACAGTGCAAAGCACCATTCCCCCCAAACTTAAATGGCACAATGTCCTCAATGTGCAAGAGAATAAAGGAAAGAGTATACCAGTGCAACTAAGCAAGAATGATCGGGACTGAAGTATCCAAAGTGGGTGGCATGGCCCCCCCAAACCTGGGATTAACTATGGTCCTGAAAATTGGTACTTAGATAAACTCATCAGATAACAAAATGAGATAATCAGTGCACAGTGGACATGCAAGTGTAAATGGGATAATGAAATAAAATAGGGAGAGAGATATAAGGGTGGTCTTGAATATCAGGAAGTACTCTCTCACTGAAGTCACTGTGATGCACTTGATGGAGTCAAACATACAGATATGAGAATATAATATATGACATCTATAGCAAAAATAGATATATATAAAACAGATAAAGTGCAGGTACAACAGAAATATCAAAGCCGACAGACCGGGTGCAAAAATAATAGTACTGTACATTGACAAAAATATAGATCAGAGATCAGAGAGTAGAGAGGGATCAAAAGATAGAAGGAACTGTGAACTCAGGACGATGAGGTAGGACGGGTAAGTCGGGCTCCGCGGATATCTCTGGATAGATCTTGGAACATAGTCGCGACATCCGTGCAGAAGGCAGCAAAATCAACTCTATGGGCTGTAAGATCAGCTCGTATGGCAACAACAGCATCCTCAAGAGTCTGCAGGCGTACTCTAAAGCCTTGGGTCAGATCTGGAGCCTCAAGATGAATCAGAAGAAAGCTCCTGAGTCTGCTCCTGCTCGTGAATGGGAGACCCAGCTGGAGAGTACTGCTCTGCGTCATCTGCAGGGCGCTTTAAGTCAATATCTATATGCTCGGCAGCTGGATCGACTGGTGCGTCATCCGTTGCGGGATCTGCTGCTGCTACCTTAGCTGCTGCCTCAGCCTCCTCCTCAGCCTCTAGCTCCTCTGCAGCCACTATTGCGTGGTCCTGCAGTCTAGTAATAATGGTGTTGTAGCTCTTGGTCCAGTCCTTCTTTAGAAAGTGACAGGAACCTCTCTTGGGGTGCTCTTGAGGATGAATAGGGTAGCACTGGTCGATAAGAATCTGAGTGATGAGGTGGCTAAATGGGAGAGACTTAGCCCGTCTGGGCGTCTTCTTGCTAATATACTTATCGTCTAGCTTCCTCATCACGTTTCAGATGAGCGCGGGAATAGATACCCAGTGCCCGGTGTAGAAGGCATAGAGGGCTGTCAAATAATCTCCCCTCCTCTGAATCTTGTGCCCTGCCATGTAGATGTTCCGGAAGAGCACGGAATCAGTGAACCATAGGTCGTCTGGAAGGAATGTCCAGGTGGCGAAGGTCTCGCCACCGGCATGGTGACCTGTAAGAAAAACTGCCATGTCGACATAAGAAGGTCTGTATAGCCTCGAATATGTCTCCTGAAGCTCTGGAGGACAGCGGTGTAGGCAGTGGCAAGAGCGGGCTAGTGAGTCCACTGTGATAGTGATATGATGGCCATCTACAGAAGTGACCAGCTCTGCTGTGGTACAAGGGGATGGTCGGAGGTTCTGGTAGAACAACCGTACCAGCCGTGGGTAGACTGGCTCTGTGACTGGGGCAAGAATAGCTGCCAGGCCCCTCTGAATGATATCGTGGTAAGCTGATGGGGTCAGCACCGATCTGGAGAAAAAGGCCGTGTCGAACACTGACTCATGGTCGACCGCCATATATGCATATCTAGGCATGGGCCTATCACGCTCCTGAGCTGGC